ATGCAGGCACGAAGTTTATCCATCATCCTTCTTGCCTGGTGTCTCTGATCTCTGATTGGCAGGAGAGGATGACCTAGATGGTGACTCCAAAAATTTCTTGATAGCAGGATGATTAAAAACCATTGTATCACATGTCTTTGATCCCTGCAAAAATGAAAGCAAACAAAACAAACTTTTAATCAAATCCATCAAAAGTGGTAAAATTTTAATTTTTCCAAAACCCTTATCTATTTAGGGGTCATGCTTAAAATCCTTCAAAATCTGCCCACACCCAGAAAATGAAGTCCAAACTCCTTAATGTCGTCTGAGCCAACAAGAGCTAGAAAGTGATAATTATGTGAAGGTCCTAACACTAAAAAGCTAAAGGTGCAAGTTCTCTGAAGCTAAATGAAAAATAGAGATAAATACATAGTAACATATGGAAAGTAAGATTTGACTTAAAAAAAAAAATAAGCCTCACACTGCTTTAACATAAACACATCAACTGCTCTAAATAAAATGTTCCTGTAAAATATATAAATATTTTAAAAAATGTATATGTAAAATGGCTCCCACGTAGGAGTAAAATGTAGTATAGAATGCTTTAAAATGATTCATACCTACATATAAAGTTTGTCATCAGTCCAGTACTGAAGCCTGGAGTATTTTTGTGTATCTTGTTACTTGGATACAAAATACAGTGTATTCTGTTGTAATGGGATACATCTACAGTTCCTAGGAAGCCCAGCTTTTAAAAAGTGTGCAGTTAACATAATTCAGCAAGAAGAAAGGAGCCAGAGGCTAGCATTTCAAAGCAACAAAATTAATGAATCTCAATAATAAAGGGTATTTTTTTTAAAGATTTTATTTATTTATTTGAGAGAGAGAGAATGAGAGAGAGCACATGAGAGGGGGGAGGGTCAGAGGGAGAAGCAGACTCCCTGCCGAGCAGGGAGCCCGATGCGGGACTCGATCCAGGGACTCCAGGATCATGACCTGAGCCGAAGGCAGTCGCTTAACCAACTGAGCCACCCAGGCGCCCCAATAAAGGGTATTTTTTAAGCTGTGATGTATTTTGTTACAGCAAACTAAAAACAATTAAATGGCAGACCATAATAGACAAAAATACACCTAAATATCCTTGAATAAATTCTAATCAGAATATAACGGGGAAATAAAAATCAGTGCACTTCTAGACTACCAAATAACACAGTTCAGAACTGCTAACAGTTAAAAAAAAAAAGGCGGGGGGGGCGGCGCGCTGCTGCCTGGGTGGCACACTTGGTTAAGCATCCAACTCTTCATTTCAGCTCAGGTTGTGATCTCAGGGTCATGAGATCAAGCCCCATGTTGGGCTCCCCACTCAGCACGGAGTCTGCTGGAGTTTCTCTCTCCCTCTGCTCCCCATCCCTACCGTGCCCTCACTCACACACTCTAATAATAAATAAATTTTAAAAACAACAACAACAACAAAACATTAAACGGACAACCAGCTCTTCAAACAGAGTAGCTACAAGTCCCATGTCACGCAGATGCTAGCTTGTAATGTCCATCTTATTGGATCCAATAGCAAGCCATGTAACAGATAACAGTAAAATCTGCCCTGGGTTGAAGAGTGTCTCCCAAAAATCCATGTCCACCCCAAACCTGTGAATGTGACTTTATTTGGAAATAGGGTCTTTGCAGATGTAATCAAGTTGATACTGTCATACTGGATTAGGGCTTACCTAATAAAAGGGAAATGTGGAGAGAGAGAACTGTGAAGACACACAAGAGGGAAAACATCCATGTGAAGATAGGGGCAGAAACTGGAGTGATGTAGCCACAAGCCAAGGAATGCCAAGGTTTGCCAGCAACTGCCAGAAGATAGGAGAAGGTGAGGAAGGATTCTTTCCTAGAGCCTTCAGAGAGAACATGGTCCAGCAACACCTTGATTCTGGGCTGTTAGCCTCCAGAATCAGGAGATAATAAATTCCTCTTGTTTTAAGCCAGGAAGCTAGTGGTAATTTGTTATGGTAGCTCTAAAAAATAGTTCAGACTCTAGTATGTATTAGGGAAACTCCTGTAGTAGAAGAAACAACTATCTAACATCTAAGATTAAATTCAAATAATGCTCCAGATTTCTCTAAGACAACATCGGGAGTATGACCGATGCCAGGTACCCTCAAGCAACACAGGATGACATGAAAGCCAAAACATGGTACGTCTTATCTGTAAAAACCATGGGGGACAATGCAAACCAGTATGGCATCACACCTTTCCCAGGTCTGCCACGACTCTCACTGAGCCAGTACTATCCAAGAGAATTATCTAATTCTAATTGAGAAAACTTAAGAAAAAGAAATTTTAGAATGAAAAATGAACAAAAGTTATAGGAAATTATCAAAATGTCAAACAAGAAGAAACACTTCTGTTTCAGTTCAATCCTATCCCCATTCCGTTATAAATGGAGCAATCCAGTGGCAATCACATTACCTAAGTGATAAAACTTAATATTCCAAACAGCAGGACAACCTGATTACTAGGATTCCTGATGTGATACAATATGAGGTATATAGCATCACCTGTGAAGTTATTATTGCCAAAAACCTCTAACTTTAATCAAATCTTTAGACCCAACTACCAGTTTGCAGAAAAATAGAGAGAATGAAGGAATAACCCAAGGGGGAAAAAAAAAAAAAAACCCAAAATGTAGGATATTCTATAAAGATAAATGGCCTATCTCTTTAAATAAGTCAATATTATGGGGGGGAAAGGTGAACTAGTTTAGATAAAATGAGTCTAGAGAAACCAAATAACCAAATGTAGCCCATGAACCTTGATTAGATCCTACATCAAAAAAACAGCTTTAAAAGATATTCTGGGGATGACTGGGAAAATCTGAATATGGACTGGTCATCAAATAATATCAGGAAGTCATAGAAGAATATCCTTTAGGAAATACATGATTTAAGTACTTAAGGGTGAGGTGTCATGATGCCTGGAGCTTATTTTCAAATGTTTCACAGAAAAGTAAGATAGATAAAGCAAAGATGACAAAATGTTAAGATGGTGAATCTAAGTCATGCACAAACAGGTGCTTATTTCATTTCTTCTGTGGATTTGAAATTTTTCATAGAAAGTGAGGGAAAAAAATCAGGGCTTCCTGAATAGGATATATCTACTGAAACTACAAATTGCTCTTCAGAAGGAAAATCAATCTATCTATAACTTACTCCAAAGCTGATCACAATCAAATGAAGAATAAAGCAGGTTAGAATAGGGTCTCACTCAACTTTGTATCTAACAAAGCCTAGGGACAGTGCTAAATATTAGCTGGAGAAGGACTTAATATAAAGGAAAAAATGTTGGGGTGCCTGGTGGCTAAGTCGGTTAAGTGTATGACTCTCGACTTCAGCTCAGGTCATGATCTCAGAGTCATGAGATTGAGCCCTGTGTGGGGCTCCGTGCTGGGCATGGAGCCTGCTTGATATTCTCTCTCTCCCTGTTCCTCTCCCCTTCCCCCACCCCACGCGCATGCTCCCTCTAAATAAAAAAACTAAAAATAAATAAAGGGAAAAATGATACTTAGGATTATTGACAGTTTATGTATTTTCCCAGGAAGGTAGGCTAGGTTTCTTGAATTCCAAAGGTCACTATAAGAAGTGTTTCAAAGGCAGGAATTTCACATCAACACTAATTTCCCCTTCACACAACAAATATGGATAGCCAGAAATGACTGTATAGGAGGAAGACTTACCTCAGAAACTTTCAGAAGTCCTGCAGAAGCATAGTAGTTTGCAACAATGCAGGCACGAAGTTTATCCATCATCCTTCTTGCCTCAATCAGTCGCTAAAAACAAATGTCAACTTGTTACTTTAAAAAATAGAAATGACAGTAGAGATATACATAAAAAATTCATAAAATAAGAAATACAAACGACCAAAACCTCAATTTTCTAATAATCAAAGAAAGGCAAATAAAAATGATGATCTCCACCTGTCAAATTGCAAAAGACTTTTTAAAAGAATGACAAAAGCAGGACGCCTGGGTGGCTCAGTCGGTTAAGCGTCTGCCTTCAGCTCAGGTCATGATCCCAGGGTCCTGGGATCGAGTCCCGCATCGGGCTCCTTGTTCCACGGGGAGCCTGCTTCTCCCTCTGCCTCTGCCTCTCTCTCTCTATCTCTCATGAATAAATAAAATCTTTAAAAAAAAAAAAAAAAGAATGACAAAAGCCAATGTTTACAAGAGTATACAGACATGTTAATATGTATATTTATGTATATGTATGCATATTCATTGAGAAATGTCAAGCACGAGCAAAAATTATTTTTGGGGATGGAATTTCAAGTAATTTTTTTCATTATGTTTTTCTGCAATTTCATGTATAGGGGAAAAAAAAAGACATATGCCTTTTTTCCAAAATGAGAACACTCCTTTTAAAAGAACAGCAAAGGGGGAGGGGGCGCCTGCATGGCTCAGTCAGTTAAGCATCCAACTCTTGATTTCGGCTCAGGTCATGATCTCAGGGTCCTGGGACTGAGCCCCGCATGTGCATCAGGCTCCCCACTCAGTGGGGAGTCTGCTTCTCCCTCTCCCTCTCCCCCTCCCCGCTGCTGGGGAAAAAACCATGATTCTATCTCAATAGATTTTTTTGCAACAGCTTTGTTTTTTTTAATTTATCACCATTATACCTGGTCAATGACTTCAATTTCATGTTCCTTATTCTTCATTTCAAGTGCAAATTGTTCCTTGATAATAGTCTCAATCTTCTGCACAGCAGCATCTCGAGCTGCATAATGAACATAAAATAATTCAAGGTCTAATTACTCAGTGACTGTCATGATTTAAGTCAGTATGCAATAGAAGAAACCCAGGAAACAGTAACTCCTACGTGGAGAAACCTAGTGGCTGTCACTTTAACCAATGATGAAAAGTTAACATCACTAATATGGGGGCAAACTGACTTCATGTGTTTTCTGATATAATGCACTCAGAAGTCTACATCACTCTAAGGCATTCTGGCCAAAAATGCTAAATCTAATTACAGGGAACATCAAATAAACCCAAACTGAAGGACATTCTACAAAATAACTGGCTTACATGATTCAAACATTAGAGTCAAGAAAGGCAGAAAGGTTGAGGAATTAAAGAGATATGACAACAAAATGCACTGTGTGATCCTGGACTGGAGCCTAGAGAGGGGAAATAGTTATAAAATACAATACTGCGAAACTGGTAACTGAATACTGACTGGACGTCACATAATGTAATGGATGAATGTTAAAATTTCCTGCTTCTGATAATAATACTGTGATTACATAAGAGAATCTCCTTAAGAAATACACTTGTATTTGCAGGTGTCCAATTTATTTTCCAATGATTTAAAAAGAATGATGTGCATGTATACCTGCATGCAAATGTACATGTATTTGAGCGTGTGTGCGTGTGTGTGTGTGTGTGTGTGTGTGTGTGTGTCTGGGGGTGAGGAAAAAGACTTATAAATCAAATGAGGCAAAATATAAACAACTGGCAAATTAATCTGGATAAAAGACATACAAGTATTCCTTGCAATTTTTCTGCTTGGAATTATATCAAAATAAAATTACTGAACAAGAAAAAGAAATCCATTAAGATTCTGAGAGAAATATTTGGTGACCTATGAAAAACCACAGCCCTGAGGACAAAGGAAATAAAGAGACAGATAGAGGGGAAGTAGTCTGTGACATAAGAGCAGTTCATAAGAAGGCAGGAAGCTTCCTTCCCTAGAGAAGGATCTAGCAAGCAATTCAGCAGTTCCTAATCACAACTACCTAAAAGAATGAGTAAAGAAAAGAATTCAAAAGTAAAGAAAATGCCTCTGGGGCACCTGGGTGGCTTAGTCCGTTAAGCATCTAACTGTTGATTTCGGCTCTAGTCACGATCTCAGTGTCAGGAGATCAAGCCGCACAGCAGGCTCTGCCCTAGGTGTGGAGCCTGCTTGGGATTCTCTCTGTCTCTCTCTGCCCCTCCCCACCCTCTCTGCAAAAAAAGAAAAAAAAAAAAAAGCCTCTACTCTTTTTTTAAAGATTTTATTTATTATTTATTTGAGAGACAGAGATAGTGAGAGAGAGCATGAGCAGGGAGGAGAGGGAGAAGCAGGCTCCCCACCAAGCAGGGAACCCGACACGGGGCTCAATCCCAGGACCCTGGGCTCACGACCTGAGTCAAAGGCAGACGCTTAACCAACTGAGCCACCCAGGCGCCCCCAAAAGCCTCTACTCTTGAAAGTAATATTATACTATATGATAACTGGAATTTAAATAAAAACTCAAGGGGGGGCACCTGGGTGGCACAGTCAGGTAAGCGTCTGACTCTTGGTTTCAGCTCAGATCATGATCTTAGGGTCGTGACAGTCCGGTGTCACAGTGTCTGCTTGAGATTCTCCCCTCTCCTTCTATCTCTCCCCGGGGCATGCTCTCTCTCCCTATCAAATAAATAAATCTTTAAAAAAAAAAAAAAAACTTGAAATTAAAAAGCAAAAAAGAAAATGCCTCTAGGGGTGATAGAATTCAGATGATGACTACTCAAAGTAATATGCAACTCAAAATTTAAAATATCAGATACAAGGGGAAAAAAGAGCCAAATAACTGCTTGAAAACCCTGGAATTTTGGGGCATCTGGCTGGCTCAGTCAGTAGAGATATGTGACTCTTGATCTTGGAGTTGTAAGTTCAAGCCCCACATTGGGTGTAGAGATTACTTAAAAATAAAATCTTTAAAAAAGAAAAAAGAAAAACCTGGGAATTTTGCAAAATGAGCCTGTGTTTGTAATATGAAAAAAATGTTCACTCATGCTTTGGAGTATACGAAAAATTGCAGAGAAAATTTGGACCCTTTGATGACCCATGTCATTCTCTCCCTGTAAATTAACATGCCATTAAATTGGCAACTTCAAACCAATAATGGTATAAGTGAGCATTCTTGTGGATATGTCTGCATGGAGGGAAATGACTGGTTTTTGTCATTATGAAAAAAAGAGTATTTTCTAGTATTACTAGTATTTCTAGTATTACTACACACGCACACGCACACACACATACACACACACACACAGTCTGTAGAAACCAGCAGATACTCTTAGGGGAGAGGCTGAAGTCAGAGACCGTGATCACTGAAGGCAGTTTTATCTAAGCTCCTTAGAGAGAAACTCTTCTAAATTATGTCTTTCATGGAATAAATAAAAACAAAAACAATAAACAAAACAATATAAGCAAAAGGAAGCATCCTACCAAATCTACTTTGAGCAAAATTCTGAAAAATAAAAATATGGTTTGGGATTAGGCACAAGTATGGTCACCAAGAGGCAAAATAGCAAATTATCCCTCAGTAGGAAAAACTGTCCCTGCTTAGGCAGAGTATCTGGGAACTTACACTAGATTTAAACTGAAATTATTATGTTTACTACAACAATCAGTTTTCCCTCTTATTTTTATTAAAAAAGTTATGCCATCTGATGCATTTGAGTAATGGATATAAGTGTCACATTTATTTGGCTTATTATTGAAAGGGAATTATTTCCTTATAAATAAAATTATAACTGAATGAGGGGAAAGTTGCAGTGAAATGTTATTATTATCTGGAATTCAATTTGATAATTTTTGGTCCACAAAGACTTTCGGGGGGTACATATGACTTGACTGCATAGAGACACGAATTTCCTTTCACCACTTCAACTCTAGGGGCACAAATCTTTGTGAAGCTACAACACTTTATGACTTGGATGCCTTCTTTACCCAGCCGTAAGTGTAAGCTTACAAAGATTTATTATTTAAATAAACAGTAGTGAATTTCAGCAATAATTTGTTTTAAAAACTCAAATTTAGCATCTTTTCCTGAGATAGCTTAAAATATTCTGGGTAGTGGGGCACCTGGGTGGCTCAGTCGTTAAGCGTCTGCCTTCGGCTCAGGTCATGATCCCAGGGTCCTGGGATCGAGCCCCGCATCGGGCTCCCT